TTCATCAGATCCCTGTTAGGCTGTTAGGGGCTTGGCGAGTGTGCCGTTGTCTGTTTAAGGCCTGCCTGGCTGGAGATGGTAATTGGGTTCAAAGTGCCTTCACTGGAAGAGCTGGAAAAGCCTGTGTGGGAGGGAGGTAGGAGGGCGGAGGGAAAGGGTGTGGGGTAGGAAGGGGTATTGAGGGAGTTAGGGGGAGGGGGTTGTAAGGGGGACCCCCGCCCCGCTCCACTTCTTTCTCAGGTGGCCTCACTCTCTCTGGGCAAGCTGTTGAGGGGAAGGACAGGGAGGAGAGGGGTAGAGGAGGGGGAAATGGGGAGAGGAGGGGGAGAGCGGGATGGATGAGATCATTGTTATGATGTGAGGTGGAGCACATGGATGTGTCTTTGTGTGTGGGTGTGTGAGTGTGGGTGGAAATGACAGCCAGAGCTCACAAATAAAGTATTACGTAGATCATTATACAGTAGAAGTCACAATGGTGCGTTTGGGCCAATAAGCCTTCGTTATAGTGGAGTCTGTTTTCTGTCCAATGTCCCTAACTTCACTACTATGTGATCTATTTTTCCCCTGTGTATGTTCGGCTGCTTTGATTACTGTAGCAACCCTGTTATTTAGAAAGTAGAGGCCAGTGAACTGACATGTCTTATAGCTGAGAATGAACCAAGCTCTTCGCACATGAGCACTCTCTGTCTTGAAAACATCTGCATGTTTCTCTTTGGTTGAATCAGACCTACGCTTCATACCCTAGTAGTGCAACACTAGGAGACTAGATCACTGTCAGAGGTAGAAGAAATGTACGGTTAAGTGATTCCCTATCAGAGCAGAACATTTACAACACATACCAGGGTAGAGAAATATGTGGGAAAATACTGAGATATTTCTTAGTGAATGCCAGGTAGAAAATTGCCTCAGGTGGCGGATTGTGAATGCCTCTCTCTCTCTCTCTCTCTCTCTCTTCTCTCCTCTCTATCTCTCTCTATCGCTATCTCTCTCTCTCTCTCTCTACTCTCTCTCTCTCTCTCTCTCTCTCTCTCTCTCTTCTCTCCTCTCTCTCTCTCTCTCTATCTCTCTCTCTCCTCTCTCTCTCTCTCTCTCTCTCTCTCTCTCTCTCCAACAGTGTGAGAAAAAGGAGTGTTCTGTTGTCATCAGCCTGTTAAAGTGCAGCTGTGCTCTGCATGTGTAATCACCCTGCACCTCGCTGGAAGACAATTATAACAGTCAGCCGGCCCCCAAAAAACAATTTCACTTAAGTTAGCCGCCGCAATTAACTGGGACAGCTAACCTGGTGCTGTGAAATTGGGTCGGATCAGCCTCGGTGTGCGTGCCGTGCAGTTATCACACCAAACAGAGATGGCAGGGGCCCTCGTTATCTTTCTCTTTGGCGGTGAGCCCTCGGAACGCCAAACACAAGTTGTTCAATATTTTAAGCTGCTTTGCTAATCTGCGTTCTTCATTTTGTTTTGGAGGGCTTTCGGCATTAAAAATCCCTGCTGCACAAATACTTTTGATAGTGAGGGTCTGGAGAAAATAGGATAGGGGTATGGAGGGATTGAGGGGGGAGCATTGAAGGGTTGAGATGGGAGGAATTTTTGTTATCCCTGGTACCTTTTGTTCGTCAGAATAGCCGTATCTGGACATGCAAGATGGAGATTGTATAGAGTCAGGTTGATCCAACCTCCCCCGCCTTCTCACTCCTCCTGACTCCCCCCTCAGGCTGGCTGGCATGCCCACACTCGCCCATGGTGACCCCAGTCTGGAATCTACAGAGGCAGGTCTACGTGAATGTTTGTGTGTGTGTGTGTGTGTGTGTGTGTGTGTGTGTGTGTGTGTGTGTGTGTGTGTGCACCTGTATGTGTGTGTGTTTTCCCTTTTCTGCAGGCTGCTAGCCAGAGCGTGGAGGCCAGGACAGACCAGGGGGTGGTGTATGTTGGTCTGAATCAGGGCCCAGGCATGGCATCCACCACCTACACACACACACACACACACACACACACACACACACACACACACATACACACACACACACACAGACACCCACACACAGGGGCCTACGCATCCTGTCCTGTCCCGTCCAAGCTTGACCATCATACCTGGATAATTTCCTGTCCCATTTCCTGTCAGTCCGCCTAGCGAATAGCTACGTCCGCCACAACACGCATGCATCCCAGAGACAGGAAAACAACTCAGAGGAGAGCAATGCATTTCCCATTTCTACTCCTTGGCCTGGTCGTTGTCGCGCCTGTCACACTCTCCCAGCCTGGTGCATCCTGCGTCAGGGGGACAAAGGAACGCCAGATTGTATTTATAGATGAGCTAAGCAGCACTGAGTGAGTGGGCCTCACGATGGACCTGTGTCACTGAGCTGGGCCCCACGATGGACCTGTGTCACTGAGCTGGGCCCCACGAAATAAGGAGCTGCGTCATTGCATCACGTCAGGGCCCCAGTACTTTTGTATTCTATGTCATCGCTGAGGTTATTACAACTGAATCCATTTTAGTACTCCATTTACAGGAAAATGTATTTTGTTCTAAAACGATCTCCAAACAAATCACTCAACATCCATGCTTTGCTGTGAACAAATAGGATCTGGCCTGATACAGATCAGCAATATTCAGTGGAAAATGACTTTGTTCCTCTCACTGTCACTGACTGCTGAGCTTTTTGGCAGGCCCACATGGATGTGTTCAGAAATGTGTAATCTAAACCTCTCCGAACACACACACACACACACATAGTACTGCGACATAACAGACAGAGCACAGGGGAAAGCTGACTCCCTCGTCAACCTCTGGCTATCCAGTACTGCAGTCAGGCAGTCAGTGACACAGTAAAGAAAGAGAGCGGTGTAATGATAGTAGCTAGCTCTCATGTAACTTCCTGCTCACAGCCTCACAGCATTACTCAGAGACACACTGTAACAGGCTGGACTCTCATTCATTGGTCCTGGGCCCTGAACCTAAAGAAAGGACACTCATGGTTCCTGGACCTGGTCCTCCAATGAACTCAGTGAGTCAGTGATATTTTAGAACTGACAGGGGCTGTACTGCAGTAATGCTGTGAATCATGTTTTACCGCCATCATTATTACTCAGCATTTAGATCTAAATAAAGACCATTGAATTTAGATTTGTTCTTATTACGGTTACTCAGGTTACTGGGACTACAGTATGTTAAGCTGTCAACTCCTATAGAGGTAATGGGAGGTAACTAACCATGCTGTCTGTCCTGTATGTATAGCTGAGGTTTTACCCAGAGTAATTCATCCAAGGCCCGGGCTGTGGCCCAGTGCCAGCAGGCTGATAATACTGCTGTCAGGGAAATGGACTCGGTGATTGGTTGAACAAGGCTGAACAGGGCCTATCAGTCACATGCCCACTGACTGGAACAGAACAGTGTTGTAACCTGAGATCTCAATAAAACCAGAGCCCAGAGGACAAAACGACACCGACCGACCCACCTCTTGTCCCGTGAAACAAAACGCTTCCCTCTCTTCACTTCTCTCCTCTCCCTATCTATCTTCCTCCCCTCTCCTCTCCCTCTCTCCCCCTCCTATCCTCTCCCCTGCTCTCCCTTTCCTCCTCTCCCTCTCTCACCCTTTGTCTCTACCTCAGTCCTCCCTGCTCTTTGTTTGTTTAAGCCACTCCCCCCTCTTGTTTGTCTTTGTCGGAGTGTTGTATCCCCTGCCTGGCCCCTTTCTCTGCTCCTCTCATAGCAGTGACTAATGAAGATTAGCCTGGCACGTGGCACAATAGGAATTGTGGACCCCCCACACCACACCACTACCACACACACACACACACCAACACCACCACACACACACACACCATCACAACAGCCACACTATTAGCTAACTTAGCATCCCTCACTCAGCTCAGTGTCCCCCCCACACCCCAATCTTATAACAAGCTGTTAACCCTGGGTCCCCTTTCAATCGGCTTGTGAGGGGGAGTAATCCCGGCTGGGCGGTTTAATGAAAATGGCTGTATCCTGATTAGATTACCCCAGAGCTGCCAGGCTGGCCCACATTAGAACATTAGCTGCTACCATAAAAAGATAAACAGAGGCTGAAGCTCCCCGCACCCCCACTAAATCCCTTTAAAGGAAGACAGGGATCTGACTCTCAGGGATCCGACTTTCACTCTCTCTCTCGTTCTTGGTCTTTCTCTCTCTTTCTCTCAATCGCTCAATCTCTCTCTCTCCTTTCTCTCTCTCCCCCTCTCAGCGTCCCAGCTGACTGACTGGGCTCAGATCACTACCAGCGTGGATTACCCTATGTTTGAGGTGCTCTCCAGTAATGCTTCCCCCCCACCCCATACAATCCCCTGTCTTTAGTTCCACTACAACACCACCACCCTGACTCTTCAGTCCTGTGGATGGATCAGTCAGCTCAGTGAGTCAGTGGAGTTCTATGTGGACGCACAGCGAGAGTAGTTATCACAAAGCCATTAATTCAGCCTGTGTAAGGAGAACCTTACAAGATGTCCCAACACAATACAGTAATACTGGGTTGTTGTGAGTGTGCTTGCTTACTGTTCCGTCAATGAAAGGTTGCTTACTTTTTTATCCACTACTCCCATTATGTCGAGGGACCTCTGTTGTGCCCTTACCTGCCAGCAGAACGAAAGCATTTACCCAAACATTACGACAAAGAAAAGAGGATATACTGTGGAGGCGGCTGTAAACAGTCTCAGAGAAAAGAGTGATTCAAATTCTCGTTTATGTTGAGCAGTGAATGCTGTTTTGACAGGCTCAATCCATCGCTTGTTTGGTGCAAAATATGACATGGCACAAAGGCTTTGCCGCTGTCAATGGACCATTTACTACTCTCTGTCTCTTTCTCTCTGTCTCTTTCTCTCTGTCTCTTTCTCTCTCTATATAGTGAGGTCGTCTGTAGTCTCAGCCCCCTGTCAAGTGTGTGTGCGTGCCTGCGTTTGTGTGTGTGTATAGTTTTATGAGTGTGTTTGTGAGTGACTGCTGTATTGACGGGGGGAGGAGGGGGGATGATGGCTGTGATGGCTGGCTGTGTGGGTGGGGGGCAGCCAGGATCAAGAGGTCATTGTTGGATTGACACGTGTTTGCTGATAAAGCGTCTGAGGGGGCTTAACTCTCCCCTGCTTTGTCCCTGCTCTGACCGCCAACCATGGATCTGGTGACCCCAGCACAACTGAGTGGGTGTTTGTGTGTTTTGTGTGTACACACACAGAAATAGCTCTCTGTCGGCTAGCCCACACAAACATAGGCAAAGGTTGATTGAAACACACAGTCACAGCCCCCCTTCCATTAACTGAATGTATTCATTAGTTGCAGCTGCACGCTGTCAGGGCTTAGAAGTCACTCACTGTGTGTGTGTCTTAGGGCCGCAGATGGAAGGGTCACACACACTGTCCTTCAGTGTTACCATTCAAACACCCACACATCTCACACACACACACACCCCCCCTCCCCTCATACACACATACTCATTTAAAACCCACCCTCCATGACCCACTAATCTACTTTCCTTTACTCAGTCGAGTCAACTTGGAAAGGAAAGCTAATCCTGTCTGGACTCAGACATTGTCGTCCAGCACAATACTCAGACTCACAGTTCAGTTCTTTGAAGTGTTCCGCTGTGCTGTGCTGGCCCACCTTCCGATGACACAGTGTCACACACACCTCCGGGCAGTTCATTAAAGATGCGTCAGGCAGCGAGCGTTGAGCGAGGAGCTCCCCCACCGGTTGGTGGACTCTGGGTGACCCTGTGGTCACTTGGGCCCTGGAGGCGAGGGGCGAGGAGGGCACACCCCACTTCATGGTCCAGAGCGGCTCTTCCCTGTCCTGCTGGGCTTAATTGGGTGGTAGCAGGCTGACCCCTGACCCTTGGCTGGACAGACCGGCTGAGACCGGTAGAAGAGAAGAGGCTATGGATCAGGATCAGAGAACAGTGTGGCTGGCAGGCTGTCGCCTCTGGCCTGTTTTACCTCAGCATTGGAAACCCTCTCTCTCTCTCAGACACACTCTATTATCGCCAATAAATATGTGTGTGTGGGGAAGGGGGGGTGTATGTTGTGTAGTGACTGAGGTACATTATTAAAATTATGCTTCCTCTGTCTAAAATCAGGAAGCTCAACAAGGCTGTTGATAACAATGTCTTAGATATACAGTTAAAGTTGTTTTATAATAGAATCCCTTTGTATGACAACACAAGTTGTTGTCCCACTGATCAAAGAGCCTTCAGTCCAGTCACATTACAGACTGCAGAGCAGGCTGTTGTGTCCCCAGCACCACCTCCATTCTGATGGAGCTGTAGCCCTGGCCTGGCCTCTCTTGGCTGGATCTGCCTCAGAGATCTGAGAGACTAGCTGGCCCCTAGCAGCAATGCTGCCTCATATCTCACTATTAACTACATAATGCACTGCTTCACACACACACACACACACACACACACACCTCATTATTGACTGTACATAAATGTTCTCCTTCAGCTCCCCATCAGAGGCCAGAGCAGAGGGTTATCATTAGGCCTCATTCAGGAGTGGAACAGGGATACATGAGGCTTTTTATTGAGTTTGGCGTGTTCCTGTGGGAAGTTAGAAAATACGATTTTCACGGCTGGGGTTATGGTTATGTCAGACAGAATAGAATCAGCCTGGTTCTGTTCCTCTGCCCTGGGAGGGAAGGACGTTTATAGAAGCACAATATTGAAAATAATAATCCTTATTATCCTTTTCCTCCATGGGGTAGAATTATTATAGACTACAGATGGTGTCTTGTAATAATTAATATGGAAATAGAATAGGTTTGACTGTGGGGTTATAAAGGAGGATTTAATATCTAGGAATTACTTTTATGGCAGCGCTATCTCTATTAATGTTTGTCTGTGTGTGTGCATGCGTGTGTGCGTGCGTGCGTGTGTGTGTGTGTCCTGTGCTGTGTCATTAACATTTAGGTTGAGGTGTGTGTTTCAGTCCTGCTCTCCCCCCTTGGCTTCGTAAGTGCTGATGTCATAATAAACCTGTCTGGTTTAGTTCATGAACCTGAACGCTGCAACCCTTATGTCCTGCCAAGAGGTGTCACAAGACATCAGCTCAGCCACAACTAACTTCACCACCACCCTCACTAACACTGGATCCCACCACCACTTCTAACAACTCAGTGTGATAAAAGAATGAAAAAAGTAGCCTTTTACACCTGGTTATTCCAATATTTGAAGTATTGTACAACAAGGATAATGTACCATTTTCTCATTCACCCCTATGTCAACCCTTTCCACACCCACAACTGTTTCACTTTACCCTGCAGCCATTTTGGATATCAACGCATCCCCTCAGTTTCCTCTAAAACAAAGGCTGATAGAACACCCACATTCACACCGACACAAAGTCAAGACGTTGTCTCTTGTTTCTCTTAAAAATGTGAATGGCTTTAACCAACATGCTGCCATGGTGACACTGTTTTCCTCGTCGCTGTGTGAGCTGTTGTCCGTCTGTTTCCTCCCCGCTCCCAGAGGAGCTAGCCTGGTGGCGTGTGCACATGGTCTGGTCTGGTGTGCAGCAGCCAGGGGACAAAGACAAGAGAGGAGAGGAAGAGGAGGAGGAGGAGGAGGGGAGAGCAGACAGAAGCCTGGTGGCAATGTGCAGGAAGGAGACAAGGAAAGACATATGACGGGAGAGGATAGGAGGAGAAGAGAGGAGGAAAGGAGGAATGGAGGAGGGCCCATGAGGGACTAAAATAGTATCTCCCTCTTGGTGTTGATAGGCAGCAAGAAAGAAAAAGTAAATATTGAAGCACAGTAATGAATGAGTTGCTGTCCTCCCTAATCTTCAACCCCAGAGCTGAGCTTAACTCTCTGCCTACGAGTAAAGTATTGAGCCAGATTACATTAACACCAACTGTGTATTTATTGGGTACTTTCATGGTCAATTAATGCAGATAGTGAGTTACTAAATAAGGGCCTAGTGCGTAGTGCATAGTCTTCAGCCTGTCACTCAGATAAAGGATGGAATACGGGGATTCCCATTCAGACCTACAGCTGTCTCATCCGGCCAGCCATCCTCCTACTGAGACAGGATACAGATGTAGAGCAGACCTGACCCTTAGCCACCCCTCACCACATCCACATCCAGGCTGAGGAGGGATCAGCACCCTGTGTGTAGACTGAACTCTGGTCCACTGACTGTACAGAGAAACTCAATCTCATACACACACACCTCACATCTAAGGAGGGATGAAGCCCTGTTTGTAGACTGAACTCTGGTCCACTGACTGTACTGGCCATCCACACACAACATCACTGATGTGGGAAACAGACATTTGGCTTGCAGAGCTGATCTGGATGGCAGATATTAGACCATAGACAATATATCTATGTACCAGACAGTTTTTCTGAATATGTATGTACTATGGGTGGACAGCAATGAATGGAGAATGATCTGAAGTTGATCATTTTAATGATAGAATAATAATTAATCTGCTTGATCATGTTTTGCATGTTTGCCAGACAGAAGAGAAATCTGGAGAGATGAAACAGATCAGACATAATTGATGTCTCAGCAGATGAGACCAGTTCCTACTCTGTGGTAGTGATGGGGGAAAAATCGATTCAGTTACATTTTTGGATAATATTCTATTGATATTTGAATCCGCAAGTATCGATTTGTAAAATAAATAAATAATCCTAGCCCTACTCTGTGGCGTCTCAAATTACAACCGTTGTCCTCATACATACCTACAACACTTGTATCACATCACTCACACACACACACTACACCAGATACTCCTTACTCGGAATCACAACCCAAGCATGGCTGCCACTGCCAGACAATGCACAATAAACTACAACCACTCTCACCACCATTTAGATAACTAGCAAATCCAAGAAAAATTAACCCCATCCGTAGTGAATTGGGGGGATAATAGTGATGTATTGATTCCTGATTCCCCCTCTAAGCATGGTCACACTGAGCCCACTAGCTAAGCCAATATGGCTGAAGCACACCCACACACACACACACACACACACACTGGACTGACCTGGGGGTTATTTGCTGCTCGGCCATAATTCACCCAGAGCTCAAGCTAGCCCGCTAATAGGGCCAAGTCCTCTGAGTGCAATCGCTCTTCCTTATTTCTCCTGTGTCCCCCACAACCATCTACTCTCTCAGTGGCTGGGCCATTTGACTTCCCTTCTTCTGCACTGGCTGCAGGGCAGGCAATAGGTAATAACACACACATGCAATAACACACACAATTACACACATGCACACACACACAGAAAACGCATGCATGCACACACACACGCAAAAACAAACATTTTCACACGTAATCATGCACACGCACGCACACACGCACGCACAGAGTTGAAGTCGGAAGTTTACATACACCTTAGCCAAATACATTTAACTCAGTTTTTCACTATTCCTGACATTTAATCCTACTAAAAATTCCCTGTCTTAAGTCAATTAGGATCACCACTTTATTTTAAGAATGTGAAATGTCAGAATAAACGTTTCGGGTAGCCTTCCACAAGCTTCCCACAATAAGTTGGGTGAATTTTGGCCCATTCCTCCTGACAGAGCTGGTGTAACTGAGTCAGGTTTGTAGGCCTCCTTGCTCGCACACTCTTTTTAAGTTCGGACCACACATTTTCTATAGGATTGAGGTCAGGGCTTTGTGATGGCCACTCCAATACCTTGACTTTGTTGTCCTTAAGCCATTTTGCCACAACTTTGGAAGTATGCTTGGGGTCATTGTCCATTTGGAAGACCCATTTGCGACCAAGCTTTAACTTCCTGATTGATGTCTTGAGATGTTGCTTCAATATATCCACATCATTTTCCTTCCTCATGATGCCATCTATTTTGTGAAGTGCACCAGTCCCTCCTGCAGCAAAGCACCCCCACAGCATGATGCTGCCACCCACGTGCTTCACGGTTGGGATGGTGTTCTTCGGCTTGCAAGCGTCACCCTTTTTCCTCCAAACATAACGATGGTCATTATGGCCAAACAGTTCTATTTTTGTTTCATCAGACCAGAGGACATTTCTCCAAAAAGTACGATCTTTGTCCCCATGTGCAGTTGCAAACTGTAGTCTGGCTTTTTTATGGCGGTTTTGGAGCAGTGGCTTCTTCCTTGCTGAACAGCCTTTCAGGTTATGTCGATATAGGACTCGTTTTACTGTGGATATAGATACTTTTGTACCTGTTTCCTCCAGCATCTTCACAAGGTCCTTTGCTGTTGTTCTGGGATTGATTTGCACTTTTCGCACCAAAGTACGTTCATCTCTAGGAGACACAATGCTTCTCCTTCCTGAGCGGTATGACAGCTGCATGGTCCCATGGTGTTTATACTTGCGTACTATTTTTTGTACAGATGAACGTGGTACCTTCAGGCGTTTGGAAATTGCTCCCAAGGATGAACCAGACTTGTGGAGGTCTACAATATTTTTTATGAGTTCTTGGCTGATTTCTTTTGATTTTCCCATGATGTCAAGCAAAGAGGCACTGAGTTTGAAGGTAGGCCTTGAAATGCATCCACAGGTACACCTCCAATTGACTCAAATGATGTCAATTAGCCTATCAGAAGCTTCTAAAGCAATGACATCATTTTCTGGAATTTTCCAAGCTGTTTAAAGGCACAGTCAACTTAGTGTATGTAAACTTCTGACCCACTGGAATTGTGATACAGTGAATTATAAGTGAAATAATCTGTCTGTAAACAATTGTTGGAAAAATTACTTGTGTCATGCACAAAGTAGATGTCCTAACCGACTTGCCAAAACTATAGTTTGTTAACAAGAAATTTGTGGAGTGGTTGAAAAACAAGTTTTAACTTCCGACTTCAACTGTACACACACACCTCTGTGTACAGTGAGGGAAAAAAGTATTTGATCCCCTACTGATTTTGTACGTTTGCCCACTGACAAAGACATGATCAGTCTATAATTTTAATGGTAGGTTTATTTGAACTCTGAGAGACAGAATAACAACAAAGAAATCCAGAAAAACACATGTCAAAAATGTTATAATTGATTTGCATTTTAATGAGGGAAATAAGTATTTGACCCCTCTGCAAAACATGACTTAGTACCTCTTTGCAGATCTTCTCCAAGTCATTAAGGTTTCGAGGCTGACGTTTGTTAACTTGGACCTTCAGCTCCCTCCACAGATTTTCTATGGGATTAAGGTTTGGAGACGGGCTAGGCCACTCCAGGACCTTAATATGCTTCTTCTTGAGCCACTCCTTAGTTGCCTTGGCCGTGTGTTTTTGGTCATTGTCATGCTGGAATTCCCATCCACGAGCCATTTTCAATGCCCTGGCTGAGGGAAGGAGGTTCTCACCCAAGATTTGACGGTACATGGCCCTGTCCATCGTCCCTTTGATGTGGTGAAGTTGTCCTGTCCCCTTAGCAGAAAAACACCCCAAAAGCATAATGTTTCCACCTCCATGTTTGACGGTGGGGGTGGTGTTCTTGGGGTCATAGGCAGCATTCCTCCTCCTCCAAACACGGCGAGTTGAGTTGATGCCAAAGAGCTCGATTTTGGTCTCATCTGACCACAACACTTTCACCCAGTTCTCCTCTGAATCATTCAGATGTTCATTGGCAAACTTCAGACGGCCCTGTATATGTGCTTCAGTCCTTCACAGCGTAGTGTGTTACCAATTGTTTTCTTGGTGACTATGGTCCCAGCTGCCTTGAGATCATTGACAAGATCCTCCCGTGTAGTTCTGGGCTGATTCCTCACCGTTCTCATGATCATTGCAACTCCACGAGGTGAGATCTTGCATGGAGCCCCAGGCCGAGGGAGATTGACAGTTATTTTGTGTTTCTTCCATTTGCGAATAATTGCACCAACTGTTGTCACCTTCTCACCAAGCTGCTTGGCGATGGTCTTGTAGACCATTCCAGCCTTGTGTAGGTCTACAATATTGTCCCTAACATCCTTGGAGAGCTCTTTGGTCTTGGCCATGGTGGAGAGTTTGGAATCTGATTGATTGCTTCTGTGGACAGGTGTCTTTTATACAGGTAACAAGCTGAGATGAGGAGCACTCCCTTTAAGAGTGTGCTCCTAATCTCAGCTTGTTGCTTGTATAAAAGACACCTGAGAGCCAGAAATCTTTCTGATTGAGAGGGGGTCAAATACAAATTTCCCTCATTAAAATGCAAATCAATTTATAACATTTTTTACATGCGTTTTTCCGGATTTTTTTGTTGTTATTCTGTCTCTCACTGTTCAAATAAACCTACCATTAAAATTATAGACTGATCATTTCTTTGTCAGTGGGCAAACGTACAAAATCAGCAGGGGATCAAATACTTTTTTTCCTCACTGTATTTCCCTGAGAGAGGCCTTGCTTGCAGCAGGTGGTGTCAGCAGTGGGATATTTTTAGGTGTTGCCAAATGTAGCTGTGAATTCCTGATTTTCACTCACAGCCAGATGCTTTCCTCCTCTCTCCCCAACCTCATCTCAGAGCATTTCATATTATTCTGTAGGTAAATCTGAGACACTCCATTTAGTATGATGTGTTGCGTTTCGTATGGTACTGTATGTATTAATTTGTGGATTCTATCACCAATTTCGTATTATATGTTATGAATTCTAGCTAGGTGGCTAACGTTAGCTAGGCTAGGAGTTAGGGTAAAGGTTAGGGTTAAGTTTAGGAGTTAGGTTAAAGGGTTAAGGTTAGGGTTAGGGGAAGGGTTAGCTTAAAGTGTTAAGGTTAGGGGAAGGGTTCGTTAAAAGGGTTACATTTAGGGTTAGGGGAAGGTTTAGCTAACAAGCTAAGTAGATGCAAAGTAGCTAAAGAGTAGTAAGTAGTTGAAATGTTGCTAATTAGCTAAAGTTGTCCGTGATGAGATTCGAGCTCGCAACCTTTGGGTTGCTAAATGTTCACGTTATACGCCCACCCATCAACCCCGACCAATCACCCTACTTTTGTTTTTTGCCTTAAGTAACCAGCTGTTTTATGTAACCATACCAAACATAACATATCATACTAATTTGAGTGTCCCGGATTTACATTTACTATGTTACCTCTAGTCTATGAGACCAGGCTGCTCTCCCTCCCCTCTTCCTCTCTCCTCCTGGTAACTGGGACCACACCTCTTTTTTCTCCCTCTCTTTCTTCCTCCCTCCTTCTTTCTCTCTTCCTCCTATTGATTTGGCTGGGGCCATGCATGATGGTGTGATTGTCTTACAGGACACTGTGCAGGCCAGGCAGTATGGTATAATATATCAGGAGGCAAGACCTTGACAGGTGGTTGTTTGTTTGTCACTTGATCAAGATGTTGATCTTTTCAAAATATTGCTGTGTGTAAATTATATATAATTTAGGGTTAGGATTAGAAATGATATCTGCTGCCTGTGCATTGATGTAATGCTGATATGCCATGCAATCCTACATCTGAGTGTTCTCTGTGTATATTAGAGTAATGCTAAATAGCTTTTATTAAACCTCTGCCATAAGTGCTGTAGCCACTTATGGCAGAGATGTCATATTAAAATCTGAAATATGTATTGTAAAAGTCAACAACATTCAAAAAGTCAAGTGTTCATCATTTTTTCTGTTAGGGCACTCAGAACTCTCCAATGCGGAGGTAGTGAATGTGTGGTTGGTTGGTTGAATGAGGCCTTGCTCTCTGGTCTTAACCCAGAAACACACTCACACAGGAGTTGGACCCCTCATCTGCACCCCAAATGATGCACTACTTTTGACCTATGGCACTATTGTGAATGGGGGTCCATTTGGGAGTGGTAGTAGTGAGTGCTCTGCTCTGGCTCTGCAGCCAATTCTGCTGTCAGTGGGAATTGCAGCAATGGATTGTGGAGAGTAAGCACATAATTTTTACACCCTCGACAAATGCCGCATGTTGGAGGACAAGCTCATGACTTGACAAATGACCCGGGCGAAGGGCCGTCTGGCGCGTGACGGCAGAGGAGACGTTCATTTCCAACCAGCCATCGTATCACCCCGTATCCCACCCCATCCCCGCTCCCCGCGCACCCACCAACCACGCGCCAGTGGCCAGGGGCCAAGAGAAACGGGATTAAATTATCCCCCAAATTAAAAGGGCATATCTGCCTTGTCTCCGCTAACAGCTGTTTGCATTTTTCTTCTTCTGCACTATGCTGTTTCTATCTGCTGCTGCCTGCGCTATTCATTAATTTTATAACCTATGTTTATTAGTCTGCCCAGGTGGCAGTGGATCAGGGCGGGGGTAGAGTTGGGGGGTGAGGGCAGAGTAAGGGGGGCGGTGGCGTTCGCGTGCTAATTGCTTTGCTGTGAGAGAATGTGTCGGAGACATGTGCTTTCTGGGGTGCGAAAGGGGAGGCAGGGTGGGCCAGGGTGTGCTTTTTTTTTTGGAGGGGGGGGGGGGAATGAGGGGCTACTGTAAGTATTGTAAGGAGGGAGGGAGAGAAGGAGAAGGAGTCGGGGAGGGGGTTGACACAGGTGCAGAGATGATGGAGGGGTGGGGGGTGGGGGAGCAGAGCAATCACACAGCGGGAGTGTCTGAGTGGCCCCACTCCATCATAGACTGTTGATTAAAATTTCATTGGAGGAGGCCAGTGGGGTAGGGGGATTGGGGATAGTGGAGGGTTGTGGACTGGGCAGACAGGGGGGCCGTTTCAGGGACATATCCCAGGCAATAAAATCTAGCTGTGCCTCAGGACATTCCGAAGGCTTGGGTTTTGTCTTCTAAATGTAATATTTTCTGTATTAACCGCTTTATATGAAGAATGTTCCTCAACCATCCGAGGGCTGTTTCAGTTGAACAGTAGCTGCGTAGAGAAAGGGCTCTAAAACCTCTGTGTATAAAATGAGAAAGGTAACAGACATTGACAAGGTCTGGGGAGTAGTGTACGTCCTGTTCAGATGCTTATCTCTTGTTTTGTCTACTCTCTCGACCCTCCTGAACACAGAACCAAATCTTTGTTGAAATTGATGTTCTGACAGAACAAGCTGTTCCATTGCCAGGCCTTGAACTCCTCTGAAATAAGTTTGTCATCCCAAATAGCACCCTATTCCCTTCATAGTGCACTACTTTTGACCCTATGGGCTGTGGAAAAAGTAGTGTACTATAGGGAATAGGGTGCCATTCGGGACGCAGTCAGGGAGTCTTGTTTCAGATCAAAGGGAATCTATTTTGCCACTCAGCATTGTACAGAGCTGATGTGTGTTGACTTTTCACACACATATCTTTCCATTTGCCATTCACCTCTTTATTGAGCTCCTTCTTCTCTTTTGTTGTCTTGTGTAAGAAATCAGCCTCCAAGAGCCTCCAGTTCACTGGTTTTACGACCAGCTTTTCAATTAAAGCAGCAAAAGTACACACACTCAAACACACACACACACACACAACACACACTAAAGCACTGTATCTACTGCCTCGCTCTGTAACTGTATCTTCTAAATGTCAGGAACCCTGGGGCTTTGATAAGGGGGATGGGGAGACCGTGTGTGTGTATGTGTGTTTCAGCTGTCGTCTCCCCTTTGGTCTCCTTGACTGACATAGCATCCCAGCTTCACCACAACCTCGATGGCCCCTCCACTGTCACTCTCTCCATCATCACAGACACGCACACATCACATCTCACACACACACACACACACTCACACACACACACACAGCTACATCACAGCCCTCTGTTGGCCCCTGCCCTGTCACTCTTCCCACCATCAAACAGCAGGCAAGAGCCACACCGCTGGTCGGCAGCCAGGGCCATGACAAGCTACTCACACACACAGGTGCTCCATAGTAAACCGATCCCCTGTTAGAGAAGGAGAGGGGAGGGAGGGTAACAAATCCGTGAAATCCTTTCAGAGACAGTGTGGGCTCCAGACCAGATGACTGTGATGTTAGTCTGCTGCGATGATGCTCTAAATGTCATTGGGACAGATAGCATCTACCTCTTACTGGGAGAGTGAAGCGCTTTCCCTCCCTCTACCCTTACTCTGTATCTCTCTCTATCCTTCCACCCTCTATTCTCACTCTCTTCATCTCTCTCTATCCACCCTTTCTCTGTCCCATTTCTCTCCCTCCCTCTTTCTATATCTCCCTCTCTCTCAATAAAGATGGACAGAAGTCTGTGATGAGGTTAGGTTATGTGGGGAATAGAGGATGGGAGAAGGTGAAGTGATAGAGATTTGAAACGTCTCCCATTGTTGATGGCAAGCGTCTCTCACTCCTCCCATCCTCCCGTCCTGATAGCGCTCCTCTCCTCTGACAGGCAGGGCTGCCTCAGCCTCAGTAATTGTGGTGTCGTTACAGAGCTAATGGTGCAGCAGGTACCGCAGGCTCCTCAGCGCTTCCACAGAAACACTCAAACCTCTCCTAACGCTTTTCCTAACGCTCCCGACAAAATAAACAGCAATGAATCAAGGGTGCAGTCCCAATTTTACAGAGGAATGGTTATGATGTTCAGAGTGTGTGTGTGTGGGGGGGGGGGGGGGTAATAGCCAAGGCGGAGTTACAGCACCCTGGGTTATTGTTATGAACACCAGAGGGGAGGGGAGGGGAGATGGCCCGTTACGGACAGACTCCATTCCGGCTCATTGAGAACGGCCAGTTGCACTGAAGGCTGTATGATACAGTACAGGCTAAATAGAAGAAGGGGGTTGAGGGGGGAAACTGTATTCTCTGAAATGGCACCTCTCTAAGATATACAACAGAGCCCCTCAAGGCACAATGAGGAGGTTTTCTGCAGTGAAATCAAAATTCTTGGCACGTAGGCGACCAGTCTCTGCACACACTCTCTCGCTTATACATACACAGATGAAAATACACACACAGGCTTCCCATCAGCAAATTAGCTGAATAAAGAGTATCTCTTCGCTGGGTCGTTTGAGTGGCTAATTACGAGAGAGAGAGAGAGAGAGAGAGAGAGGAGAGCGAGAGAGAGAGAGAGATATGATGGAGAGAGAGAGAGAAGAGAGAGAGTAATAGAGAGATGATGAGAGACTACCCTCTCCTCGACTCTCGAAGACCTCTCTCTCCTCTCTCGACGACGCTGCACGCATCTCATCTCCGCATCTCTCTCTCTCTCTCGAGATCTACTCGCGCTCTCTCTCTCGCGCTCTCTCTCTCATCCCTCTCTCGCTTGCTCACCCTCCCTCTCTCCCTCTTACTCTTCTCTCGAACTCTTCTCTCTTCTTCTCTCTGCTGACTAGGCTCTCCTCTTCTCTAGCTTCAAACAGCATCTGATGAAAGCAAAAGAGCTTTAATTAAAACCTATTTGTATGAGATTGATTTGAACCCCAAAATGGAGGGGAGAGAGAACATAAATACACACTTTCCTAGATGCAGGAATGAGATCATATGAAGCCATTAGTTTAGATAATGTGCTGACTTTATAATGCCAGAGCAGGGTGCCAAGCACTGGCATAGCGCACCCGCAAGGCAGGGGGGCCCACAAGCTACGCCACTGGTGCCAAGACATTGAGAGTAACCAAGTCAGATATTGCTGGGATGTGTCCCAAATGGCACCCTATTCCCTACATACTGCACTACTTTTGACCAGAGCCCTATGGATAGCCTTCAGAGTAATGCACTATAAAGGGAATAGGGTGCCATTTGGAACAGACTGGTGATAATTTCCCCTTTGTGTCTAGTTGGAGTCCAGCTGGATGGTGTAATAACAGTTAGCTGTAGATGTAGCGATGGCTGTGGTCCTCTCTGGTCTCTTTGTCTGACAGACAGAGGCTGTTAGCTGGGTATGAACCCCTTCGGCTCAACATCTATTATTGATAGACACACTCACTCACACACACACAGTGACACACATACATTGTGGCACACACACACACACAATAATATATGCCATTTAGCAGACGCTTTTATCCAAAGCGGCTTACAAATCTAAGCCTAGCATCAAGGCTCTCTCTCTGGTGGAGTCCAGGCCAGAGAGGCTCACATAGGGAGAATGGAGAATATGGAGCAGTTTGTTTTCTTCTTTATTGTAGCTGTGGGAGCTATGGCCCAGTCACAGTGTGAGAGGGGAGAAAACATAGACCTACTTACACATTCAATAGACTTTTAACAGGTGCTTGATATCAAAGTAATGTTTATCAGTAGAATTGTAGTCCCCGCACTGCTATGCTCCTGTAGTGTATTTAACTGTTAACATTTCAACCCCCATATCAGTGAAACCAGATAAAACCTCCAACTATATTGTTGGGTCAATGTGTATTGTATTGTAGTGTATTGTATGTGCTTAAGGTGGTAGCTTCATCTTTTATGGGGTGGTTACTCACACACACAACCTCTGGTCATTGTATTTCCTCTGACTGGTGTTTTATGTTAATACTGTATGTGACTAATGGAGCCTTGTAAAACATGGCACACCTATTTAACATGACCTTGTTCACTGTTAAAGGGAGAGTGTGACATTTTGGCAATTAAGCCTCTGCGTGCAGGTTGTCTGAAGTTGAAGGTAGTTTCTGGAGCCATTGCTAACTAGCATTAGAGCAATGACTGGAAGTCTATAGGAACAGTTAGCGTACTTCTCAGCAATTTCTATAACAATGTAGCCTATACCTAACCACCCATGTTTGTGGCTTTATTCTCCCAATAAATAGTCTTATAATGATTGATCCAGTTCCATATAGATCCTATAATATTACATCCATACATTGTAACACTCTGTGAAAAAAAAGGTGCTATCTAGAACCTAAAAGGGTTCTTCAACTGTTCCCATAGGAGAACCCTTTGAAGAACCCTTTTTGGTTCCAGGTAGAACCCTTTTGGTTCCAAGTAGAACCATTTTGGTTCCAAGTAGAACCATTTTGGGTTCCATGTAGAAGCCTTTCCACTTAGGGTTCTACATGGAACCCAAAATGGTTCTACCTGGAACCAAAAAAGGTTACACCAGGGACAGCTGAAGAACCTTTTTGGTACCCTATTTTTTAAGAGTGTGTAGTCCTATGAATGCTCAGCCTGGTTTAATGCATGGCCATGCAGGCTTTAATGTCCGTTGAGCAGCAGCACAGTGAGAGCAGTACAGTATGATATGACCTTTATCCGTATGTTGTGGGACGGAGCGGGGGAATGGAGGTGACTGAGCCCCCTCTACTCACACTAGCTGCCAAAGCCATGAGCCAGCAGGCTCCCACACTGCTCTGATCTATCCCCCTGCAGAGGGGGGGGGGGGGGGGGGGGGGGGGGGGTGTATTCTCCTACTGGACATGCGTGTGATATCTCCAGCCCCTGAGGTGTGTGTCGCTGACCATACTGTGGGCCTAGTCACAGTTGAGTATAATATGTACTCAGAAGGTAGCACAATGTTTAAAGAGCTATTCCAACTAGCTCAATGGTCATTTGGCAAGCAGGGACATGGCTAGGCCTACCCCCAGTGTTGCTTTTACCATGCATTAGTGGTGATTGATCCAATTTAAAGGGGAATAAATACAATGTCCCTCCTTGGCCATGCTTGACTGCAGATTGTATTACACTAGAATTACTAAGAAAGGATAGAAGTGTTCACAAATCATAGCAAGGAGCTGGACAAAGGAATCACCCAAAGCCTTGTCAGGCAGCGTTTACAAAGGACTTTTTTTGTACGTCGTCGCACTATATCTACACAATGCTTATCAGCCAAAATTAGTTTGAAACACTCACACCCCCAAAGAAATCTCTTTGATATATGCTCATATGCAAATGTAGCTCCGTAGGAAAAAAGAAGACCTTTTAAAACAGAAGTAAAACTAGCATAGCAAAGCTTATCAGCCTGCAACAGACGCCCAACAAAAATGTGTGGTGCTGGTTTTGTCACAGGGGGGGCAGCCTGACTATAAGCACATGGGAACAGGGCAGCCTACAAGTGCTGCATGCCTTTAGATACATTGTGTCACAGTGTTTCTGAAGTTAAGATAATAGAGGTAAGGCAGCTATAATTTGCACTGATAACATAGATTAAAGTGCTGGAATGTTTGACTCCATTCCGCTGCTCCCCCCTCCCTCTGCCAAAGTGTTTTAGCTGTGACATGCCAAACAGAACATGCTAATATCTAAACTGGTCACTGTGATTGCACAACAATATTGTAGAACCATTATGAAGAATGTGCTGAGTGGACAGTTAGTGAGCCGTGCTCTACTCTACTCTCTCTCTCTCTCTTCCCCTCATGGCAAGGCATTGCTCATTCTAATGAAGCCCTAGCAGAAAATAAACACGAGAGAGAGTGTGTGTGTGTGTGTTTATTTGTATGTGTGTGAATTTTAAAGATTAGATTTTCTGGGTTTCTTTTCTGGTAGGGTATGGTTTAAGCGAGAGGTGAGGGAACAGCCTAAATATAATAACCTTTCTGCTGATTGTTTGGTAAACACTGTGCCATCTCTGCACGTATCCCTCTCTCTCTCTCTCTCTCTCTCTCTACCCCTCTCTCTGCATGTATCCCCCTCCCTCCTTTCCCTCACTCCCTTCCCTCCCTCTCTCTTTCACATAATAAAAAGTCCATGGCTGGTTTATTTCTCTCCCCTGTAAAGCGGAGCGGAGGGAAACAGTGAGGCCAGCACAGTTCACAGCTCAATCACAGAATATCCCCCCTTCTCTGGGCCCAGCTAGGGGCAGGTGACGTGGTCAACATGGCCTCTCTCTGGAGAGGCTGGACCACTGGACCATACTGGGTGGAGGGGATGATAGGATGCTCAGATTATGATGATGTGTGATGGTGGTTAGATTAGCAGAGCTGGATGTGTATCTAGTCAGTAGTCATATGATATAGAGTGTGGCTGTGTCAGATTGTTTGAGTTCTGCTGAATCACTGACAGGTTATCATACACTCTTAGAAAAAGTGGTGCTATCTAGAACCAAAAAGGGTGTTCGGCTGTTCCCATAGGAGAACCCTTTGAAGAACCCCTTTTGGTTCCAGGTACAACCCTTTTTGGTTCCATGTAGAACCCTTTCCACAGAGGGTTCTACATGGAACCTAAAATAGTTCTACCTGGAACCAAAAAGGGTTTCTCCTATGGGGAAAGCCACAGAACCCTTTTGGAACCCTTTTATCTAAGAGTGTATATGGTTGATATGATCAGTTGTTTCATACGAGGCTAATCTAATTGGTAGTTTGGTATGGGGTCTGATACAGTATGTGTTGATTAGGGATGAGTGTGGTGGGGCTGGTGTGCCCGTGCTGACCGTGTGTCCCTGTCTCTGACCGAGTGTCTGGAGTTGGAGCGGTACCAGCAGAAAGAGCCCAAGCGTCTCTGAATAATATGTGTAGATTAGGGATGAGTGTTTTCTCCTGTACTGTTCCTGTTTCTGACCGTGTCTCTCTCACCCTTACAGACTTGTCTGGAGTTGGAGCGGTACCTGCAGACAGAGCCCAAGCGTCTATCAGAGCTGTTTGACGAGGAGCTTGACTGTCTCCTGACGCCCACCTTCATGCAGGGTACTGACAGTGACGAGGACCTGATGGACCCACTGGACCCCCTCCTCCCCAACCTCCCCGACCAGCCCAGCCCCCCTCCCCTCCTTGTCTCCCTCCCCAAGGTCCTACAGGCCCCACAGCCCCACAACACCAAGGCCTCCGGAAAAGAGTCTGGAGCAAAGACCACCAAGGAGGGGGTCAACGCTGCCCAGCTGAGTGCCGTCACCTCTCTCACACCGCCCTCCTCGCCGGAGCTGGGCCGCCACCTGGTCAAGCCCATGCAGACGCTCACTGCCACGGCCGACGGCACGCTCACGCTCAAATTGGTGGCCAAGAAGGTTGGTCTGAACGCAGCCAAGCTGGTGGCCACACATGCCACTCTACCCTCGCCGCCCAGCAGGGGGGGGCACAGCGACAGCGAGCAGGGGGCTGGGTCGCTGGGGGGAGATATCCCAGAGAACAAGAAGAGGGTCCATCGCTGTCAGTTCAACGGCTGCAGGAAGGTTTACACCAAGAGTTCCCATCTGAAGGCACACCAGAGGACACACACAGGTGAGACAGAACCTAGGCCTGACCCATGGGAATGGGCCTAAAAAGGCAGGAACCTAGGAAGAAACCTAGAGAGGAACCAGGCTCTGAGAGGTGGCCAGTCCTCTTCTGGCTGAGATTATAAGGGTACATAGCCATTAAGGCCAGGCCATGCACCAAACACACTGCCTGAAAACACACTGTCTAGCCTGACCAAGGACCATGCACCTAACACAAGACCCTGGGAGAATATAGGTTTAGGTTTCAACTCTCTGCCTGAAAACATATTCTGTTTCAGTATCAGTGCTCAGCTTGATATGTGTAAGTGCAAGGATTGCAATCCAATGTTATGAAGTAGAAACACAGAGGCAGTCTTGATATATCCCTCTATCTCCCAGTTTGAGGTCCTTCATATGGGCTAAAAATACATTGGTCTTAGCTCTGCAGTGCAGCCTCTCTCTCTTTCTCTCATTCACCTCAGTGACTCTGAGTCTCTTACTGAAACCATTCCAATCTCTCCATTCACAAGCTGCTAGCGGAGGGAGTGGTACGGTAATTGCCAGTGGATTGATAGACTGACAGGTCTAAATGGCTAATTCAGCCATGTCTACTGCAGCCTGGAGTATCTAACCACCGCTGCCCTCCCAGTGAACCTCAGAGAGAGAGAGAGAGAGAGAGAGAGAGAGAGGGAGAGAAGTCTTGGCATCAGGTTAGCGTTAGCGCTAGCCGTAGCGTTAGCATCAGTGTTAGCGACGCTAATCCTTTCCTGAGGCCTGCTGTTGACTCGGCAGGTTTCACCGCTGCCACTTGAGCGCTAGCGATGCTAATCACCAGCGAGCTGATGCAAGCCATTCGTTCGCCCCCTCCTCTTCCATCACCCAAAAAATAAGAGGAGGGAAAGGGGAAAAAAAGAGAAGGATCGAAGAGAAAACAACACCCTTAAGACATGCTGCAGCATGCTGCTCTGTAGCTGTGCAGCCCCAGCCCCGATATGTTCATTACAAGACAAGAGCAGCACAGTACAGTAATTAGCCTAATCCTCCTTTTTGGTTATTATGTCCATACATCAGTGACACACAGGGAGGGAGATTAAGATTAGTGCAGGATTTAAGGGGGGCTTTTCTTCATGAGGATGACATGCTCCTGGAGGGCCCCATCAATAACAGTCGGTAAGGAAACACACAGCCTTTCACTGAGGTTTAATAACCATAGAATTAGAATGACTAGAATAACTATAGAATTAGAATGACTAAAACGAATGTCCATTCTAGTGATTCTAATTCTATAGGTTGAACATTGTTCTAGAATGTGGGCAGTCAGAACAGAAACCCACCCACCATTTTCCTATCTTCACTCCTCTGGTGTTGGGATGGGATTCTTGGTTTTAGTTAGACGGGAGCTGCTGCATGGATGAAACTCTAGCAAATGTGAAATGGGCCATAATTGTCTCAGTCAGTTTGTGTGTCTGTCTGCTGTAACTTAATCTGAGAGCTGAGAGATCATAATAGGCTCTACGCTCTATCTCCAGTTGACTAAGGAAATGTAATTAACTGGAGCACACAGGCACCTGTGATGCTGGTGGGAGGGAGAGGGGGGTGATGAGGCGGGGGGTGCGTTGCTAGGAGACCATATCAGAACTGGCGAGAGGAGAGTTCGTAAATGGCTGATTATTTGTGGCTCCTGGTATCAGTCTCAGCCTGTTTTAACACAGTGCTGCCCATTCCAACTACCCAAGCCCCTAACACCACCCAACCCCCAAATCCACTCTCCCTCCACCCCCAAAAAAAGCACCCACCCACCCCAAACTGCTCCCTTTTTTGGGGTTTTGGTTGCCAGGCAACTGTATTACACTGATCCAGAGCAGAGCCATAATTGGCTGGTGGCGCTGAGTGTCCATGACTGGCGGATTCAGGCGGCTGCACGCCTCTCTCTCTCGCTCTCTGTCTTTCTCTCTCTCTTTCTGTCTCTCTCTCACACAAACTCTCTCGCTCTCGGCCGGTTGCTAGGCGACTCCATCATGCATCCTCGCCTCGGCGAGTTATAATTGGCTGGCGTAGCGGTTGCCGTGGTGGTGGGTCCAAGCCGGCCCTGCTTCATTCTGTCAAGTCTGGAGAGGTGGAGGGAGGTATAGTGAGGAGGGGGGTTAATGCAAAGAGGAGGAGCTGATGGTAGTGGAGAGGAGGAGAGGAGGGGGACCTTTAGCCAATTACTGGGGAAGGGGTGTGAAATGTTTGCTGTCTTGCACCTGTGGCCCCAAGACTCCAAAATGACAGAGAGTGGTCCTTGAAGCCAGCCTGCCTGCCTCCATCCCTGCCAGCCTGCCTGTCTTCCTGCCTGTCTGCCTCCCTGTCTGCCTGCCTTCATCCCTGCCTGCCTGCCTAACAGGCTCTTATGACAAGGCAACACTGTCTGGGGATATCATCTGCTACAGGTTTTACACAGTGGGGGAGAATGAGCAGATAAAAAAGCCTCAGGTCTTTTGGCAAAATGTTTATGAGTGTATCAAGGGGCAGAGGCAGGCAGATGTTCAGAATGTGTTGCATTCATGTGTTCACCCCAGAGGTAGAGGAGTGTTATATGGAGTGTGTGGAATGGAATCTGTCTGTAAAGTGGTGTGTTGCCGATACATTGCTGAGGTGTTGCCGTCTCCCTGGCTATGTCCGAAATGGCACCCTTTCCCCTATATAGTGCACTATGCATAGGGCTCTGATCAAAAGTAATGCACTATATAGGGAATAGGGTGCCATTCCGGATGCACCCTCTCTCTCTAACAGCAGCCATTACCGGGTCATTGCCCAGTACCCAGAATGCCCTCTGCTGATTTGAATCATATTCAAAACACGGAAAGAAATGCACAGCAAGTGATCCTGAGGTGTTTCTGCCCTGCAATCTGTCACATTACCACAATCTCACCACAGACAATGGATCAAACAATGGAGAAAAGAATAAAAAGGAAACGTAATAAGAAAAGGTAATGTGAAATAAAACGGGATTGGAGGTATCATTTACAGACCACTTGCCTTTTCTCTTCCCTCTCATCTTACGACATGGCGGATGGGGGGAGTGGGGAGTGGGGGGTGAAGGGGAAATGAGGGGAGATGAGGGAGGTGCGTTGCATCATCTCACATCACTCAGTCCTCTCCTCTCGTCCTCCGCCACGTCATCCTTTACTTTCTGTTGCATCATCGTGCTCTCAGCAGATTCCACAGCGCTCTTAGATTATGTAAAACAAAACCGCATCATCCTTTACCGTCTACTGCTGGGGTTGCCTCCAATTTACTTTCGGCAATGAAATCACTGACATTCTTCTGCTAATCAACACTTTTTGTAGCAGGTGTTTTGTAGCAGAATGAATTACTTTAATCAACATATGCAGTACTCTACACAGTACATTGCTGCAAAACAGCATAATGTGTTTTACCATGCACATTTTCAAGCATAAGGACATGTTCCCTAAGTTTATTATTTATAGTAGAGGATATAAGAAAACATGCTTCTCCATTCACATTCGGGATTAAAAAGAAAAGCTTGTCAGTGTGATTCTGAGCATCACCAGAGCTGTGTCCTGTATAGTACCATCCCCACCTCCATTCACCCCTCCACACACAGCCTCCCTGACACTATGGGTACCCTCCGCTATCCTCACCCTCTGTCTCCCACTGTCTGTGATTTGGACGTACCGCTGCTCTCCCGTTTGAGCCGCTTAGATTTCACTCTAATGGCACTTTAGTCTAGTTAGGAAGATTGGTGGACACGGTGATCTGGGAAGACGGTCGCAGCTGGCTGACTGGAAGTACGGTATTACTTCCCATTAAGCGTCATTAAGACTCCAATTATCATTACCACTCCCAGATCTGAATCAACCACGGCAGCAGCGCTCAGCAGCACCGGGGCGGGTGGCACCCCCTCTACCCACCCCAAAACCCTTCCCGGATTCAGCCCCCTCTACCCCCCACCAGCCAGGTCCAGGCCCATCCGAACACAGCCTGGTCCTCAGGGTCCGGACACCCCCTCCGCAACCCGCTACACCCCCCTTTCCCATCCCAAAAAGTAAAAGAACCTCCTGCCGGAGGGCCTTTCTATCAGGGAGATAAAACTACAGCTTGTGAACAATAGATATCTCCCTCTCCCATCTGTTCAACTGGAGAGAAACTTCATTTGAATTTCAGATCTCTCCGCAGGGGGTCCAAGGGGGAAGAGGAGAGGCGAGGGCGGGGGGGTGGGGGGGTGGGGGGGGGGGGGGGGGGGGGGGGGTGTAAAAGGAAAAAACAGTTTCATTTTTCAGGGTGATTTTAGTTTTAGGATTATGAATTAACACGGCTTCGCTGAAAGACTTCGTTTAGCGATCTCTGGGAGTCCTATGATTGGTTGATATAAAACCCTTTGTGTGTAATCCTGGGTTGGGTTACATAGGTACATTAACTAGTTAGTTGGATCTCACACTGGGTAACACCAGCAAATGAAATGGGAGGATCTCATCTCACACTGGTGATGATGTAATACACTCAGGTGTGTCAATCATACACCGCTTTACTTATCAGTAGCCTACATGTAATTGAGAAAACTACAAAATTATGTTCCATTATAGTGTAACTACACAGGTATTGTATAAGACCAACTTAATGGTATCCACTATTGCTACCACAAAAACAGGGTCAATAATATTTTCTTTCCTCTCTGTCTGTCTGTCTTGTCAGGTGAGAAACCGTACAAGTGCTCCTGGGAGGGCTGTGAGTGGCGTTTTGCCCGGAGCGATGAGCTGACGAGGCACTACCGCAAACACACCGGGGCCAAGCCTTTCAAGTGTAACCACTGCGACAGGTAAATACCACATCCATTACATACACACACAAGCACACACATGTCACTGACCCAGTAGAGAAGATATGACAGCGTGGCTCTCACATGATCCATCACATGCACACGTGTATGTTCAAACAAATTATCTCTCAAGTTGTGAGTTGTGCACATTGAACAGTATTGATGGTGGAAGGAAAGACGAGGTGAATTACTCCCATAGAATGTAAAGTACTTTGAGTTGAAGAAAAATAACTAGCTACATAAATGAAAGTCATTACTGTAATGTCGCCTTGGACAGCCCCAGTCCCAGTAGCAGCGCTCCCTCTCTCTCTGTCTTCATCATGTGTATAGCAGCACTCTAGTCTACAGACTGGCTCTCCTTTCCTCCCTGGCAGCTAGCAATTAGCACAGGCTCTACTCCAGTCTCTGCTGAATAACTCAGTCACAGGCCAGTCCTGTGATGCCCATTACCAAATGACTACTGTGAATAGGCCATTCTCACACGCTGCTCTCTCCTGCTCCCCCCAGCCAGGCTACTGATGGCACTCACATTCAAATCATAAATAAAACATAGTGGGTGTCTGAAAGTGAGATGGTTATGTAATAGAAGAAAAAAGTAACTTAGGAGAGAGCGAGAAAGAGAGAGAGAGAGCAACAGCGACCAAACATGAACCAGCTTGGGCATACAGAGGCAGTCTTTCATTTTCAAACAGCAGCCACAGTGTGACACTCATCAGACCTCTCTGTCCTGCTGGAGACACAAAGGCAGCCCTTTGTCTGAAGACAGCAGTCTGTGTGTGTGTGTGTGTGTGTGTGTGTGTGTGTGTGTGTGTGTGTGTGTGTGTGTGTGTGTGTGTGTGAGACAGAGAGGACACATTTACATTAGCTTGGAGCTCTGAGTGATAAGCTGTCAGGTGACAATAGCAGGAAGCCGTCACCCTGGTTGAATCCCAAATGGCACCCTATTCCTTTATAGTGCACTACTTTTGAACAGAGTCCTAGTCAAAAGTAGTGCACTATATAGGGAACAGGGTGCTATTTGGGACGTGTCCCCTGTTTTTCACACACAGGCTGCAATTACACACTGGGACCAAAGCACCCACAATTACCCAGCTCCCCCTCCATCCCCCTACAGAAGGGGACTGCTTTACAAAACCCACCACCTCCATCCCTCCTCCACACAAACACATACACACACACACACACTCCACACATCCACACCACTATGAGCCTAAACACTGATCCCAGACCAGCCATAGCCACTGTGCATAATGCACCATAGCCCCAATCAAGCTCACAACACTGACTAACCAGGGGGAGTGCATCATCAAATCTGTGTTCCAACACTCATTACCAGAATGTATCCTGGCTATTGGCTAACAATGGGGCTATTTGGAGCAGGCCTGCTATTGTTACGATAATAGACAAGTCCAGATGCCAGGCCTACTTTAGACACACACAGCCTCCAGGACTTGGATGTGAGCTAAGCCAGCCATTCAGGCAGGCAACCAGTTCACACACACACACTGCAAACACACACACACACTCAATCGTGCCTCCTCAGGTCCTAGGGGACTCTAATTGGACCCTCCTGGTTCCTCTAGTTTGGGTTTTAAACCTAAGTCTACTAATCCTACTGGAGTGTATTATGCATGTTCTGCTGGCACACACACATACTGTATACACACACACACTCACAAATACTCCCATACACACGGCTCTGCCACAGAGATGAAAATACATAAATTAAAGCAGGGAAGGAAAGAAATGCAAGGAGCAGCACTGCAGTGTGTATGTGTGTGTGTGTGTGTGTGTGTGTGTGTGTGTGTGTGTGTGTGTGTGTGTGTGTGTGTGTGTGTGTGTGTGTGTGTGTGTGTGTGTGTGTGTGTGTGTGTGTGTGTGTGTGTGTGTGTGTGTGTGTGTGTGTGTGTGTGTGTGTGTGTGTGAGTGAGTGAGTGATCAATACCTATAACTCATCTGCTGATTATGTCTTAGTAGTATTTCACACACTGGGACACTCCTGTAAAATGGCTGCCAAAACATTGAGAGTGAATGAGATGACAGTGGCTGCATCCCAAATGGCACCCTATTCCCAATATAGTGCATTACTTTTGATCAGGGCCTATAACGATATAGGAAATATGGTGTCATTTTGGACACATCCAGTGTTTGAGACTGACCCATCAAGGGAAACATTCATTGGATTTGGAACACTAACTGTGAAGTCTTTATGATTGATAAAGCCCTGATCTTAAAAGCCCATCCAAAGGATTTCCTTGTTTACATTGTACTCTGAAACAGAATAGATAAATATGGATGATAATGCATTAAGCATCTCTCCCTCTCTTCTGTCTGTCAACAGTCAAATTCAAACTGTAGACTGGGGCTACATCGCAAATGGCACCCTATCCCCTACATAGTGCACTATAAAGGCAATAGGGTGCCATTTGGGATGCAGCCTGGCACAGAGGTTAACTCAACCCAGTCTTCTGCTAGGCCTTTGAAGCGTTTTGTGAGTGACGCGACCATCAAACAGGCGTGCTGATCTCCCCTCTGTGAGGCAGCCTGTTCAGGCACCTTAGGGAACGCCTGGCTAGATGGGCCAGGAGGAACTCACTGCTGTGTTACCACATTACCATCAGAATGGGAGGAAGTTTAACAGTAAATACAGTCAGTGTGTTGAGCTCTCAGCCTCTCAGCCTTTCTGATACACACACACGCGCATACACACACATGATCGTGTGCGCACACATACACGCACACACACTCAGACAGGCACGTCATTAATCCTGCCTAATCAAGCTGGGACTCCCTGCAGGGCGAGGCAGAGGGGTAGAGGGGCGGAGGGGTACGGCAGGGGGGGGGACAGGGGCGTACCAGCTGGTGTGGCGGCCTCTGACAGTGACTCGGAGGGCCATCTGTCCTGCGGACCCTACTCAGCCCCCACTGGCCCTCTCTAGCAGACACACACCAGACAGGTACAACATGGACGGTTCAAAGGGAAGAGGGGAGCGCTAATACAGGGAGGTGTGAGGGAAGGAGAGAGAGAGGGAGAGTAAGAAAAGACAGTAAATGAAAGAGATTTTGTCAAAAGTCTTGAAAATGAAACCTGCATCTGGTCTGCCCTATGATTCAAAAGTGTCAGTTATAATGGTTGATGGAAAGGTATAGACGAGGTGGACAGATAAGAGAGAGAGAGCGAGGAGGACTAAAGTGCAGCTTTCTCTTTCATAACTGAGTCCTGTTTTGTGTTCTCCCACCACCTGTATACACCATGTCTAGCTGGAGAAATAGCCTGTCTTAGTTATGGCGGTCTGGAGAGAGAGAAACCTCCTCTGGATTTACATTGTAGAGCTGTCTGTGGACAAATTAATAATGGATACAGCCCTCGGCAAATTGAATTTTTCATTCCTCATTTCACTCTCCCACATTTTGTTTTCCAGCTTGCTTTATTCACATCTGATGTGATTCATTTTATTGCTTTGCATGAGTGTAATAGGATAATCCACCCTTACAGCCCCGTAAAAGTCAAGTACATGTGGCATATATTCTCCCTGTCTGCTGTTATGTATTACCCTCAACAGTATCAGTAACAAGTGAGCTTAATCGATTAGTAGCGAAACAGGCCTACGGGACGTTGCTCCCCTCCGCCCTACCCTGACTCAAACGCTGAATAACTAAGAAGGGCTTGGGTTTCTGCGATAGTATTTCACCTCTAGCTGTGGTACAAGTCGCAGAACCGCAGAAGTCAGGGATCTTGATTTGTGGCTGCGTTTCTGAGAATTATCGCTCGTGCTCTTTAATAAACGAAAGAGAAGGAACAATCCTGTTGCTGAATTGGCATGTCCTCATTTTTATAGAGTTCAGTCGCTAATGTGAGAAAAATGAAGCGAGATGTCATGTATTATTTGTTTTTTTTAAGGGACGAATGTAGTTTTTTGTCCTTGTGTGTCTGGTCTTCACTCCGTCTGTGTTCCACAGCGCCTTGTTTTCTCACACATACACTAGCTGCTGATCTAGACTCACTTAACACTGATTATTAAACACATTTATTTCGGTTTCATATACATCTCTGCCAGTGTTTGTCATTTTGGATCAGTAGCAGGAGAGCACAGTCTGTTCTAGCATGTAATTTATCACTGATTTCTACCAAGATTATCTGAATGTCCATTCAAACCTCAACAGTTATCCAACTTACATCTGGATGTCCTGTACTGTTTAGAATATGGGCAGCCATCTTGCTAAAGGCACAGATCAGTCATGCAGAAATGTAACTTTCAGCCTTGCGATTACCTTTCTGAATGCGTAACCATTTGTACCTACGGTCTATTGATACCTACTGTTATTGACTAGAGTATTTTTTTCCTCTCCAGGTGTTTCTCCAGGTCAGACCACTTGGCCCTGCACATGAAGAGGCACATCTAAGGGAGGAGGAGAGCGAGGAAGAAGAGAGGGAGAAGGAGAGATAGGAGAGAATAAGTAGGCAGGATGGAAGACGAACCACACAGCAGCTTCGGCTCTCACCATCCAGAGGCTGCCCCTGCCCGCAGAGACCCACCTGAGACCTGACACCAGGAGCAAAGCACTATGGGAGATGACACGCTGGATGGACGGACGCCACGACTCCAGACGGACGGATGGTCGGCGAGTACGGATGGAGTGATGGAGTGAAAGAGTCGAGGAGGAGCTTGTTTTTAATTCACACTTCCATGATTCACACTTCTACTCAACAGTCTACAACAAACTCTCTTTTATTGCATCATCCGATTAGCCATGCCTTGGGAACTCACACACTGCCAAACCAATACGCTGATCGAGTTACGACCCATTTACACTCCACTGTTTCTTTTCTGTACATTTAAACTACGGAGCGACTTGGGAAAGGAGAATTATTAACTGCTATACTTTGACACGCCAAACGTCAGTGACTTGCAGAAGTAACAATTGGCATTCCAAACCAACAACAACTATTGGCCATTTTATTCAGGTGTGCTGTTTCCCAATCCCATCCCAATTTGTGTCTCTTGTATAAGAACCCACAAACTGCAGCTATATGTCAAGCCTCAGCAAGCTATACCGTGTGAAATAACAACAATGCCAAAATAGCGAGACGAGGGAGACCAATGGAACTAATGGCCAATCCGCCAGTGGCTCCCGCTGTCTGTGGGAGTAGGGTCTGACACTTCCAGAGCGTGAGCTCTGTGCTGTGGACCTCTCAGGCTCTCCTGTAGGAGGCGCTCTGCTCTTCTCTCTCAGCTTCACGCCTGCCACCTCAGAGGCAACAACTAACAAATGCGCAGCGACACTTTCTTGCCTTTGTTTTTTAAAGACAATTAATTATTATTATTATTATTATTATTAAGAATGATGGTCTGTTTTCTTTCAGCTGAAATTTCTTAAAAATTCACTGAATGAAAAAAACTACAACATTTTAGTACAAACGAGAAAGAATGTGCACATATGGCAGGAAGGGAGGAACATCGAACGAACCCACCCTGGCCCGTATACACAGGCTAAACTCAGTACCTGCTATTTAGCACTGACAGCTAAGGAGATAAAAATAAAATTAAAATAAATCACAAGAAACTCTGAAAGAAAAATGATTTGTTGGCCTGAAATGAATGAGAAGGACCTCTGTTTTCCACTCTGTTTTCCAATCTGTGTTTTTCTCCTGTGCGATCCTAAAAACAAACCTTGACGTGACCTTCGAGGCATCAGCACCAAGCCATGGCCAAAACAGAACAGAACAGAATACTGGAAATGGTATTTTTGCTTTGTTTGTGTGGATTCTGGAACTACACCATTGAACCGTAGAACCCCCTATCTCCTCCAGTATGGTGGGGGAGGGGCCTGGGAGGCTGGTCTACTGTGACCACACCCCCTATTTGGGAGACTAGGAACCTGATAGGCTACTGGACATGAACCTGGGACTAAAGACACCCAACTCTCTGGGTAGTAGAAAGGACAACATGGCCTCATCAGCCCAGAGAGACTTGCCTGTTTCGTATCCACTGACTTTTTCAATGTTATCTGTGATTTTTTTTCATACAGTACACAAAAAAACGTTAAAAAAAAGAATATAAAAGGGAAAAAAACGGATAAAAAAAACGGAATAAAAAAATACAAATAATCTGTCTCTCACACACATACACCGTACAGACACACACTAACACCGTACAGACACACACATACACCGTACAGACACACACTAACACCGTACAGACACACACATACACCGTACAGACACACACATACACCGTACAGACACACACTAACACCGTACAGACACACACATACACCGACACGCAGAACAGTTTCTTTGCTCATGGCTCCTCTTTGAGATAAGACTCAAATAATTATTTAGTTCATGAAGAGAGTTGGAAAACAAAACACTGCATGGCAGCCTCTCACACACACACTCAGATCGCTTCCCGGCATTATTTGTTCTGCTCCAATTTTTTTTGTTGCAATTGTTGTTTTGTAGAAGAAGATCTTATTCCGCTGGAGGTAATGGCTTTGAAGTGAGAAAATGAGCTTGTTCTCATGTTCAATCAATCACCACAAATTAGGCCTAGGTCTCAGTCTCTGTATGTTAACAATCAGCTTCTACACCATGGGACCAGATTCCTCACCTGTATGCCCCAGATCGATGAAGTCCTACATAGCCTTGCAATCAGGGCATTAATACCAACACCACTATCACTAATACTGTCACTATTACTATACCACTTTCTTCCCCTCTCGCATACACACCCACCCTGGCCTCCTCACATCAGTTGTAATGGCTGCTTTATCAGAGTAGATGCCATTACTGTCTCTATAGTAACGTTTATGTATCAGCCATGCCAGACTCTCATAGACGATCCCAGAGCTGCCCTCAGGGGGGCCGGTGGAGCTCCGAACAATCGATACCAAAAACTTCCAGCATGGAACTACCCTCGAGCCAGGGGCAGGGTCTGGAACAGAACACACCGGTATCTGGGAAGCTGACCGCCTCCATACCAGGCCTATTGCCACCACTGGCGCCGCAGCAGCTTTTTCTCTTCAAAAACAGTCTGTCGACAACAAAAAGATGAAGTGAAACAAGAGATTAAGATGATCTTTGTGTTTTGCTTCCACTTTTTAGTTGGAACTTTTCTTCTTGTTTTGTTTTGTTTTAACGCTACAATGATTATTTTTTTATTGCTATGGTGGATGATGCAAGGTAATGCCAAAATTTGAGAAATGCAGGGGGATTTTATTAATTTTTTATGCCCCCCCCCCCCTTCAACGTACAATCATATGGGGTTTGTTTGTGGCACTTTTTGCAATGGTATGTCTGTGTGTGTCCCAATGCGAGCTATAGCACGGCACATCCTTAGGGGACATTGTGAATCTAATCTGCATTGTGAGAAAGAATACTACTACCAGTAGACTGGTGGCCAAGTGTGAAACTAACAGTGTGGGAGACTGGGATTGTACTGTATGTTGGTTGATTCATTCACTTTAGGGGAGCTTACAATTTATCTAGCAATAGCTGACAATAATGCTTTTGTTTTTGTTTGTTTCTGACATTTCATTTTCTCTACAACCCACTCAAATCACATTAATTTGGGATCATAGAGCTGAATGATGTAAAAACAAACATTCAAACTCAAACCATACGCCATGCACTTCACTGGCACTACAAATAGGTACAAAAAAAAAGAAAACTCTTCAAGCGCTCTTATGTTCTAGTAGACGTTCGCTTCTGGTTGTAGCCGTTTCTACGGCTTCCACTGCAGCAAAGCCTGCTGGGTAACAGGAAATGGATACAATTGTCATGGTAATTTAGCCCGTAACAGGCCTGCATGCTAAAAAGATAGCAGCACACAGTTTAAATCCAAATTAGCCTAACGTTAGTCCTCTTGCGTACACACTGACAGATCTAAAACCATACATCAAATGAAAAGTCCTATTCTATTTCAATCCTGTGGCATTCTCATCAGAATAAGCTAGCTAGGCCCCTTTCCCTTTCCCTCGCCTGTTAAAACACTGCTTGCTGTCATGGAGATGCTCCTCTGTATAGTTTCCTGGGCACTAGTATCCCACAGCTCTGATTAGCGCTAGCACTGCAGGCTGCTCTGTGGAGGCTCCTTTAGTCTCTCCAGTTGCACTCCACTAATGAGAAAGGCTTTTGGTCACAGGGAAACAGAGATCTGGGGGGAAAAAACATCAGGGACCGCGAGCCAAAATGGTTTCATATCAACGGTCCACAGTACTGTTACGAACCCAGTGTGGAATCTGCCACAGAACAAACAAAAGTACATTAGCAGCAGCTTATCGTAAAGCCAGAGAGATATATATTTATTTGAGAAAGTGATTGAAATTGAAGAGATATTTTTTGACAAAGAGAAAAAAAAATGTTTACCCCAGGGACTAACCAAATGATGATGAAATTAGCCCTGCTTTTTATCTCATGGATTAGCGATTAAAATGAGATTATGATGAATCCTACAGGCCCTTATAGCTATTAACAACACAGATCCCCCTGAACAACCCACGCCCCCTCCTTCTGCACTCTACAAGTGCCATTCTAATAGCCCTATATCCCTCTTTCCATCTCTCCATCTCTCGCTCTCTCTACAACCCCACAGAAGTGATCCATGCACAATCAACTGCAGGAACTCTGAATGCACACGTATACACTTTCGCCCAAAGATTTGCAGATTCACAAGTAAACTGCTGTAAATGAAAATAGAGAGAGCGTAAGAGAGAGCGAGAGAAAGAATGAACTCGTTTTACTGTCCACTACTATTCCACCATTATTCTCAACCTTCCCCAACCCTGACCCAACTTCTTCCTGCATTACAATCTCTTGTCTGATGTTCAGTGTGGCCAAACTCATGGTCCGTTCATGGTTGTAAAATATGGTTGTGTAGTCTCTTTAGGGTGCCCAATTCAAGGGCGACTAAACTAGCAGCCTACCAATTCTAATGTAGACTTAGTTCAATTAGCTTCTTAGTACAGTGCAAAATAGTACAGTGGAGTGTAATATTTCAAACTGTCATGTCTGAGGTGGACCGTCGAGTCTATGTTAGGTTAACTGTTGCCTGCGAGAACCATCCCAAGAACGATTGCATCATACACCTACCTTAAGCATTCCCAAAACTTGAAGCCTCACATTCGGTCCCCATGAGGTAGGGTTGTCACTTTGGTGAGGCTTCTGGCAGCTTTGTAGATAGATACAGTAGTAGCTCTCCAACTCGATGAGCTCGTATGGGTAATGACAGGTTTACAGTAGATCTGACTCTTCTGTTGACCACTAGAATGTCCATAGACATTAGACATTAGTCGTTAGACCTACTGTAAACCCATTTTAACAACAACACTTTAGGTGGAACTTAAGGGGGGTATTGTGCACTATTAGGCAACAGTGCTTCAGCATTTCGACTTATACATACATCTCACACACTCTTTTAATGTTCCTGTTGTTCTAACTTCTCAAGCATACCATTTCACTACATGAACTTACTGTGCACACTCCATAGTGTACCTACTTACTTACTGCTAGCATAGTCTGTTGGAGCACTCAAATGTCAAATATCCACATAACATGTTGTAACACTTCCTGATGCATTTAACCACAAAAACCAATAAGGGAGCTCCTTTTTCGTTTTTTGCCAATCAAACTGTTATTAGCATGTTATAGGCCCTCTACTGTCATCAAACAGCCAATAGCAACTGGGCACGGTAAGATAATGTTGGACTGTTGTTTTGATGGTCCAGGTGGTTCTGTTCTTCTTGTGGTACATTTGCATCAGGGAGTGAGTCTGTATCTGCTGTGTTTAACCATATTTGATGTGTCAGTATATAAGGGATTGACAAATCTCTTCCCCCGTCTCTGTATCCCCCAACTCACCCATTCTTTCCCTTCGTTCCCCTATCCTTATCCATCCAACTCTGGGGCCCAGGCATCACACTGAGATGTGCTATTTGTGGGAGATACAGCTTGATAAATGTTGATTTATCTCTATGGCTTTGTCTTCCTGAGGTGTTGGACATGTGTCTAGTTCAGGAGGTGAGTAAGAGTACTTTACTTTATATTCTATTCACCCTCTGCTAAGTGGAGAGTCTCATGGCCAGAAAGACAGAACCAAGATGTGCAACTGTAATAACTATCCTCAGTCAAAGGGCCACCCATAGAAATAGAATTACTCAAATTCAAATCAAATAGGGGCCACCCACCCAGCCAACAACACACCTCGGCCTGTAGAGCAGAGCTAAACCCACCAGTGCTTTTCTCAGACTGTCTACAGTACGGCTGAGCCTCCACAAGGTAGTCTAGTCCCAGTCCCAGTCCAGCCTCTACACCTGGTCAGTCTCTGGCAGCCCAGT